TGGATTTGGGATGGATTTGGGGTGGATTTGGGGTGGGTCCCGTCCCTGACCTGCTGGGTTTGGGGACAGTTCGTGTTCCCAGCCCTTGGTGACATCGCAGGACACAAATCCACAGAGGATGGAACTGGGATGGAACTGGGATGAATTTGGGGTGGATTCGGGATGGATTTGGGGTGGGTTTGGGGTGGATTTGGGGTGGATTTGGGATGGGTTTGGGGTGGATTTGGGGTGAATTTGGGATGGGTTTGGGGTGGATTTGGGGTGGATTTGGGGTGGATCCCGTCCCTGACCTGCTGGGTTTGGGGACAGTTCGTGTTCCCAGCCCTTGGTGACATCGCAGGACACAAATCCACCCAGGGGACGGAACTGGGATGGAACTGGGATGGATTTGGGGTGGATTCGGGATGAGTTTGGGATGGATTTGGGATGGGTTTGGGATGGGTTTTGGACAGAAGGACAGACGGACGGACGGACGGACGGACGATGCTGCAGGAATCCGTCCCCTCACACAGGCCCCCCCCAAACCTTCACAGCGCCAACTCCTCGAGCTGAGGGAGAGAAGAAATTTCCCCCCCCAGGAAACACCGAGGTGACAGCGACAGGGATTTTTAACCCTTTCTTCCCCTCCGGGCACATCCCGGTGCCACCCCCTGGATCCTGCCGGGACCACGGAGCTTCCTCTCCCCCCTTCCTCCAACCAGCAGGAAAAGTTCGCTGCCAAAATCCTCTGTCCCCCCAGGAGGGAAAAGCCGATTAAAGCGAGACCCAGGGCCCCACATCCCGGCTTAGTGGGAAAATCCGCGACTTCTCCCGAGCCGGGCACATCGGGGGCTCCTGGCGGGCGCTGTTATCGGATTACACAGATCGGAATTACAGAGCCCTAAGCCGGGCTTTGGGGGGGGGGGCTTAGCAATTATCCAGCCCTGGGCATCCCCCCCACACCCCACACACCCCCCAACCCCGCCAGGGAAACCAGGGCGACCCCAAAGCGTGAGCGCCGGCGTGGGGGGTGGTCGGAAATGGGGGGGAAGGTGGGATGGGGAGTGCTGCCCTATAGGGCAGGGAGTGCCCCTATAGGGCAGGGAGTTCCCCTATAGGGCAGGGAGTGCCCCTATAGGGCAGGGAGTGCCCCTATGGGGCAGGGAGTGCTCCCCTATAGGGCAGGGAGTGCCCCTATGGGGCAGGGAGTGCCTCTATGGGGCAGGGAGTGCCCCTATGGGGCAGGGAGTGCCTCTATGGGGCAGGGAGTGCTCTATGGGACAGGGAGTGCCATTATGGGAGAGGGAGTGCCCCTATAGGGCAGGGAGTGCCTCCTATAGGGCAGGGAGTGCCCCCATAGGGCAGGGAGTCCCTCTATGGGACAGGGAGTGCCCTATGGGATAGGGAGTCCCCCCTATAGGGCAGGGAGTGCCCCTATAGGACAAGGAGTGCTCCTATAGGGCAGGGAGTCCCCTCTATAGGGCAGGGAGTGCCCCTATGGGACACGACATGGGGGACACGGGGGACACGGGGGACACGGACACGAGGACAGGGGGACACGAGGACAGGGG